ATAGAGAGCTCCTCCCCAGGCGGGGCCTCTTCGGGTCCGCTGCACTTGCTCGGTGGCCAAGTGCGCGTCGTCCGCGGGAAATACCGCCCGAGCGGGCCGGGCGCTTCCACGGGACCCGGAGGCCTGGGCTGTGACTTGGGCTCCTCCAGACCCTCGGCAACGCCTCCGGGCCCCATCACTCCTGGGACCCTGCAGGCGATCAAGTTCGGGCTTCAGGGGTACGCTGACTTGAACCCTAAACGCACTCTTAAGTCGCTGTGCCCTGTTAATTAAAACGACTTGGGCTTATGTTTCCTATCTGTAAAGGAGGATGGAGAAATTCTCCGGTTTTTTTTTGTTTTTTTTTTTTTTTGTGGTTTTTTGAGACAGGGTCTTACTCTGTAGCCCAGGCTGGCCTCAAACGCGAAAGGAACTTCCTGTCTCAACCTCCTGAGTGCTGAGACGATGGGCGTGCACCACTGTGCCCTGTGAGAAATTCTACTTGTTTGGGTTGGTGTGATGAGTGCAGGAGACACGCGAAGTATTAGGCACAATCCCTTTCCCCACAGAGGGCCCAGGAGGTCAGCTGGTCCAGAACATGCCCTTTCATGCCAGTCCTAGGAATTCAGACTTCCTGGTGCCTTACCAGGAAGAAAGGAGGAAGCAAAAGTGAAAGAAGAAACTAGTTTTTTTTTTTGAGACAGGGTCTCACCATGTAGCTCAGGATGGCCTTGAACTCACACCGATCCTCCTGACTCAGCATTCCAAGTGCTAGGATTACGGGCATGTGCCAACATGCCTGACCAAAGAAGAAACTATTTTTTGTTCTGTTTTTTTGCAGGGTCTCACTGTATAGTACAGGCTGGCCTTGATCTCATTATGTAGCCCAGGATGACCTCGAACTCAACCCTCTGCCTCAGGCTCCTGGGATTACTGGGATTTCCAACCGCTTCTGGCTTCCATTCTGGACTATTCTTGAATCTCTGCAGGGCCAAATGCGTTGGCACATGTATAATCTCAGGGAGGCTGAGGCAGGAGGATCCCCTCAAGTTTGAGGCCAACCTGGGCTACATAGTGAGTTCAAATCCAGCCTGGGCTGGACTACATAGTGAGACCGTCTCACAAAACAAAACAAATACCAAAACATATCTACGGTGGAAGATACCATCCCTATGGTTACGAGCCCTACCTAGGTTTCCTGCTTGGCCAGGAAACTTGGGCGAAATATCCCAACCCCCTCAAGCCTGTTTTATCTTGTCTGAAATGAGGAAAATATTAAATACACTTCACAGGCTTGTAAATATTTAATGAGACAATGCATGTCAAGCATGTACGAAGTGCGGTTAGCTCTTAAAATGTAAATTATCACTGGGGCATGGTGGGACACAACTGAAATCTCAGCACTCTGGGAGGCTGAGGCAGGAAGATCCCAAGTTTGAGCCCAGCCTGGGCAACTTTAGTGATTTAGGAAGACTCTATCTAAAGTAAAAAAATAAATAAATAAAAAATAATAAAATGGCTGGAGATGTAGCTCAATGTGAAGCCATGAGTTCAGTCCTCAGTATCACACACACACACACACACACACACACACAAGGAAATTACCAGCTCAGCCACCATGGCGTCTAATAGGTGAAGGGCGCCCATGTCCTTGGGCTCCCATCCATCTCATTCCTAAATGCCACCTTCTCCAGTCAGAGCACAGGGTGAAATTACCAGCTGTGAGGACCTCGGGCTTGGTCTCCTCTGCTGTTGGCCATACTAGGGCCCCAGGCGGGGTCTCCTTGTATTCTGCTGCCCCTGTAGTGCGGGGAGGTGGGGTGGTGCTTGATCCAGTGAGTCTCAGAGCTGGGGCTGCCAGTGGAGGGGCGAGAAAGGTCATCAGGCCTCCTGGGAGGCCCCCAGGGCCCCTCTCCATACCCAAGACTATTTTCTGCTTGCTGGGCTACCAACCACACAACCATATGTGCAGTGGGTGAGCAGTAATTTGTCTACCTCTTCTGGAACTCTGGGAAGCTGAGGAAGACCATCAAGAGATCTCTTCTGCTTTTAGAGACAGGGTCCCGCTATGTAGCCTAGGCTGGCCTCAATCTCACAGGGATCCTCCTGCCTCAGCCTCCTGAGTGCTGGGATAACAGGCATGTGCCACCACGCCCAAGTCAATGATGGAAATATTCTGTGTCTGTGTTGCCCAGTAGAGCAGCCACTAGCCACGTGAAATGTGGCACTTCAGATGTGGCTGGTGCCGCTGAGGGATCGAACGTTCCCTCTCACTCCATTTGCACCCGTGTACAGGGACCACTGCTTAGTGTATGGGAGAGCCAGACTCCAAGAGCTTTCTGAAAGCCTCAGGAGGGCCGTTCTCAGGGCCTCGGGGCCTCGGCTGGATAAACTCCACTCGCCACTGCTCCAGGGGCCTGGCACTAATGAGAGGTGTGGGCGGAAACTGGGCTCTGCGTCCTTAAACCTATGACTTTGGGCAAGTTGACGTTAAACACTTAGAGCTTCAGATTCAGCACCTGTAAAACGGGAAATAGCATCAGATGTGGTGGCGCACGCCTGTCATCCCAGCTCCTCTGAAGGCTGAGGCAGGAGAATTGCAAGTTCAAGGCTGATCTGCTTCTGTTTCAAAGTAAAATTTAAAAAGGGCTCGGGGTGTAGCTCAGTGGGAGAACTCTTGCCTGGCACACAGGAGCCCAGGGTTCAATACCCCATACCAAAAACATAAGCTGTGAGAATCAGATTGGAGAATAGGTCAGCTGTGCCCCCCCTCACCCAGTCAGATGACAAACAATTGGATGGGTCGTCTTCATCCCAGCAGGGCTCTGGCAGGACAGACAACACCCAAGTGCCCACCTCCTCATTTCTGAGATTCCAGGGAGAGGCCCCACCTCCAGGAGCACCTAGGCCGGGCCACACTGGAGCTGCGCCCTGTGCCCTCCTCAGCTCCACGCAGAGTGGCCGAGGTCCTGGAGCCAGGGTTCCGGGTCCCAGGTGAACTTGGGACTTGAACACAGAGGCTCCAACCTGACCTTGACCGAGAAGTGTGAGGTTCTTCCAGGCCGGGAGGAGATGTGCACACCCGGCTGCCCCCCGACACTCAGCAGTGCAAGCGGCGGGCTCAAGCTTCCCTCCCCCACAGCCCTGCCGGGCGTGACCTCGGGGTGCATTCCAGAATGAGGGCACAGCCCAGAATAGGGCCCGAGCCCTGCCACCCATCCCAGTCACATTAATCACACGTTCCCCAGGGGAGGGAAGGGGAGGGGCCAGGAGGAGGTACTGGGAAAGGAAGGGGAAGCCCCAGAGAAGCCCCGCCCGGCCCTGCGGTGACGCCCTGCGGCCCCGTCAGGGGAACCCCACCCCACCCCACCCCCACCCCGCACCCCTCCTGGGAAACTGTCAGGATCTGGATCGCAGCGAGCTCAGGGGGAGATGCCGAAAACAGGTCCAGGCGGCCTGGGAGGCAGAGGCTCCCCAAGGAGCCGAGGTTTGGAGCATGAGCAGGCACCAGGCTGATGTCTCGCTCAGGAATCTAGACCGAAATACAGGTCACCGGCCCGGCGCAAACAGCCCCGGGGTTGGGGTGCACGGTCAGCTGACGGCGGGTGTCTGGGTCCTGGTCTGCTGGGCTCCACACTGCCCAGCCTAGAGCAGGTGTGTGTGTGTGTGTGTGTGCGTGTGCGTGTGTGTGTGTGTGTGACAGCATGTGTCACACGAGGCCGAACAGCACGGCACAGGCCTTAGGCATCTTGGCTCTGCCCCTCAGCAGCAGTGTGGCCCTGGCGAGTCCCTCACCCTGCGTTAAGTGTCCCACCTACAAGTAGCCTCTGCCTCTGCCTCTGCAGTTGCAATGGAGAAGGCAGGGGTGGCGCCCAGCGCCTGTCACACCGCAAGCCCTCGCCTGGGCGGTGCCGTAAGGGGACAGGTGTGGGGAGACACCGCGCCGCGCTGTGAATTGCTGTCCCCTCAGCAGCCAGGCCCCTCGGTTCCTGCTCTCTGGCCGCACTGTCCAGGGGGTGACATCAGACTGGAGCAGCTGGCCGGACAATGGAGCGGAGCGTCCCAGGAGGCTGGGGCCGCAGGGGGGGCGGAGGCTGGCAGAGGCCCAGCTGCCCTCCCCGGGGGCCGCGCGGGGCTGGAGACAGCCAGGCTGCAACAGCCGGGGCGGAGAGAATGGGCTGGTGCGAGGGATGGGGGGCAAGAGGCCCGTGGACACAAGAAGAGCAGGGAGCTCGTGTCCCGCGTGGACGGGGGGCCTGGGGGCCTTGGAGAAGCGGCCTTGGGTGCTGGAGCTGCCACAGGCAGCCGCTCACTGGGGATCAGGCTGTTTCCTGGGGTTCCCAGCCTCTTGGGGACCATAGGGCTAAACCCCTAAGTCTCTGTAAAGTGCTGTATAGATGAGACCAAGGCCCACAGAGACCCTGTCTCAAAACAAAACGACAACAAAATCTCTCAGTGATCCTCCTGTTTCAGCCTCCCGAGGGCTAGGATGACAGGTGTGCACCTCACGCCCAGCTCCCTGCCTGCTCTTTTGGCAGGTGAGAGGAGCTGGTCTGGACTGGGCTGGGCAGGGCCTGGCCTGGATTCCTCCTTTGACCCGTGGCCCGGGGAGCTCGGGAGGGGTGTCCCTTGTGAGGGACATATGAGCAGTGAGTGTGCCGGATGCCCGTCAGGGCTGGCTGCCGCCCTGGGCGTGAGAGGCCAAGGCCCTGCTGCTGACCCCGAGTCACAGCTGGCAGAGCTCCGCCTGGCCACTCTGAACCGGACCCAGGGTGCCATCAGTGGGACAGGGACGGGGTCCGCACGCGGAGGGACCCCGAGGTGACTAGTCTGGTCCCCTGGGCCTAGGCCGGCCCTCCCTGCCTCAATGGCTCAGTGCGCCGGCCGTCCGCAGTGTCCTTCCACCACCCAGACATCCGGTCCCACTGGTCAGACTTCTTTCCCGAAGGTCACCGGCGCGAAGGACACGAAGCCGCCTCCCCTCCCGCCGCGGCCGCGTGAATCACACCAGAAGACAGAGCCGTGATGCTGCAAGCTTTTAATCAGCAGCTTCCTCCCTACACCGAGGAAGCTTGGGGACCTTCCTGAGCCCTGGGGGTGCTGCGCGGGGCTGAGAAGGGAGCTGAGGGGCAGATACAGAGTGGACAGCGGGGCCCCCAATCCTCCGCCGAGGGTTGGCCGCGGAGGCTGGTGACGCGAGGCTGGAAACGCGCAGAAGCAGCCGCCGAGGCCGCACGCCGCACGCCCCTGCCCGCTCGCTGCGGCGCGCCACCGCCAGGTGGGAGCAGCGAGCAGCCTCCGCCTCCGCGCGCCGGCCGCCTCGATTCCTCCGTGACCTCCCGCAGGCCGGCCTTCCCTCCCTTCTTCCTGCCGTACCGATTCGGATCCTGGCGCCTCCACGGGCCTCAGGCCCACGCAAGCCCGTCACGCGGCAGTCGGGTCTGCGTCCGGGGACCCCAGGGATCAGGGCTGCGCGTGTGGGCGCGAGGAGCTGGGCAGTGACATTTCTCTGACTTTCCCTCCCCAGCGGCCCCCGGGAAGTGCTTATTCCCAGGGCAGCCTGCGCGGGCGGGATGGTGCCCACGACGCTTCGCACCGTGAGCTCCCATGAGCAAGTCCCTCTGCAACCCAAGTCCCTCAACTACCTGCCGGCAGAGGCCCGAGCCCAGGCGGGGCCGGGAGGTGGAGGCCCGCCCATCAGGGATAACCCTCAAGTCTAGTGACTTCTTTGTTCCCCTCAGCTAAAAAAGAAACCCGGACCCCTTACCCCAAAGACTAGAGATGACCCTCAGCCCGTGGTGGCTTCCCCCTGCCCCGTGGCCCGTGGTCCCCGTGGCCCGTGGCTGTCTCCTCTGATCTTGCCGGGTGTATGTGGCCCTAGGGCAGGGGGTGGGGGAGGTGGGAGGGGTGGGGACAGGTGGCGGCTCAGTGCAGGCCTGGGAACTCCTTGAGGACGTCGCAGGTCTTCTTGTGCAAGACCTCTCGGAGCTTCCTGACCCGCCGGGCGCTCGACGAGCCCACGAAGCTGTCGGGCCGCAGCATGGCCATGCCGCCCTCCACCTGGCCCATGATGATGAGTGGCGTGTCGCCCACCGTCACGTTGGGGCACGGGCAGGCCCAGTCGACCTGCAGCAGAGTGACCTCCAGCGGCTCCTGGCCCAGGAACTTGAGGCCCATCTCCTCGTCCTTGAGGACCTCGTCCACCGTCACCAGGGCCCGGCCCGTGTCGGACTCCTCGGTCAGCTCCGAGACCCGGCCCAGGATGACGAAGTCGCTGCGGCAGAAGCTGGTCACGAGTTTCTGCCGTGGCTTGCAGGCGGGACAGCGCTGGTTGGCCCGGGGGAAGGGGCAGGACTCCTCGCAGGCCTCGCGGCTCTCGAAGTTGTTGCCGTTGCCCTCGCAGCCCCCGTACACGAAGGACTGGCACTGGCCCGTCTGGCTGTTGTAGGCCCAGCGCGGCACGTAGGCCTTGCAGGGGCCCTGCAGGGCTGGCAGGCTGCACGCCGCCAGCGGGCCACGCATGCAGGCCAGCACGCACGCCTCGTAAGTCTCAAAGTGGTTCCGGTTGCGGTGGCAGTGACCGAAGGTGAAGGTGAGGCAGTTGTTGGCCTGGGCGTCGAAGCGCCAGCGCGTCTGCTCCTCGCCGCAGTCCTCGCTGTCGGGCGGCTTCAGGCACTCGGCCGGCGGGAAGGCCGTGGCGTTGAGGCTGCCCTCCGAGGGGGCCTCCCCCGGGCCGCCCCTGACCACGGACAGCGGGAAGTCGGCGCGCAGCACCCCGGCGGCGTTCCGGGCCGTGCAGGTGTAGATGCCGGCGTCCTGAGGCTGCGCGTTGTAGATGACCAGCTGCGCGATGTTGGTGACCACTACATTGCCACGCACGTCGTTGGGCCGCATGAGCACGTTCTCCCGGTCCTCCAGCTGCTTCTCCCAGGTGATCTCGGGCCGCGGCCGCCCCGCCACGTCGCACAGGAAGCTCACCGTCTCCCCCACAGTCACCGACTGGTGTGCCGGGTGGTTGAGCAGCGCGGGGGCTGCCAGGTCCAGCCCGGGGGTCTCTAGGGAGGCTGTGGTGGGGTGCACCGTGGTCTCGGGCGGCGGGGGGCTGGTGTTGGGCCAGGTGAAGTGGTAGCGGCAGGTGACGACGGCCAGCGTGATGCCCTTAGAGCAGGCCTCAGCGTCCATGTAGCAGCGGTTGTAGTAGGTGAGGCCATCCGAGGCGCAGGTGAAGCTGGGCTCCTTCTCACAGCGGTCTTTGCACTTGCACACGGGCTGTCCGTCCCAGATGTCACACTCGGAGCCCTGCTGCACGCACGTGAAGCGGTCACATGTGGCCTCCTTGGGCATGCCCACTGGCCCCTTCCTGCCCCGCACATCCATGTAGCGGGCCGCCACACAGCTCCTGGTCCCGCACACGTTGGGGCAGCACTTCTCGTAGGTCTCACATTCCTGAAAGAGCCATGGGAAGAGAGCTCTGACCACGGGGAGGGGGAGGGAGAGTGGCCTGCCCCGCCCCCGGGCTGGCTGGGAGGGGACCTGCATGTTGAGCGCGCAGACCCTCGTCGACGACCCGCCCTGACACCTGTCCACTGCTGTCATCACAACCCAGGTAGGATAACTTTACAGATGATGGTACTGAGCCACAGATAGCTTAAGAGACTTACCCACGGTCATACGGCTACACAGGCCACTAAGAGGGGACTTTTGGTTTTTTTTTTGTTTTTTAAACCTTTTTTTGGGCAGGTATCAGGAATCGAACTCGGGACCTTGCACTTGCCAGGCAGGCGCTTGTGCCACTGAGCTACACTCCCGGCCCCACTTGTTTGTTTTTTGAGACAGGATCTTGATATATATAGTTCAGGCTGGCCTTGAAGTCACTATGTAGCCCAGGCTGGCCTCAACTCAGAGCCATCCTCCTGCCTCAGCCTCCTGAGTGCTAGGATTACAGGCGTGCACCACCACACCTGGCAGTGAGAGGCGATGTTTTCTTACCCCCAATTTACAGATGAGAATAGGCCACAGCAGAAGGTAACACTCACATCACACAGAATGGGCATGGCAGAAAAAAGCTTTAAACTCCCCGAAGGGGTTCTGAAACCCTACTGGACGTTGCCCCAGTAATATCCAGGCTTCCAGAGGGAGGCTGCCCCTGTGTCTTTTCTCTGTCAATTGAAGAGGTCACCTCTGGCACAGCTGTCACCCACACGTCTGCTCTCCTCAATGAAAACCCGCACCAACACCAGGACCCGTCAGCCCTGGGCACTGGAACCCAGGTGCCCAGATCTGCGAGGGACTTTTCAGGGAGAAAGCAACCAGCAAAACACCCCCTGCGTGGCAGACGTCAGTGAGTCCTCCCTCAAGGCCGCGCCAGGCCGTAATCCCCCCTGATTTCTGTGGAGCCCCGTCAGGCATTAGTTTAATTCCTCGAAATTAGCAGCGTGCTCCCGGGACCGACATAAACACAGATTTCACGTGGTGTTTTCAACAGTAACGCGCCGTGCCCGCTGGGCAGGCAGGCGGCCCTCCTAATCCTCTGCCAGGTAGTAACTCCGTGAGCTGCTCCCCATGGGGGCCCGCCTCTGGTCCTTCCGACTTTTATTTCAGCCTCTTTGACATTCCACATCAGCTAAGAGGGGAAAATCGCCCCCGCCCCGGCGCACGGAGCTGCCTGCTTGTTTACTGTTCCCCCCCTTTGGGCTCAGAATGGGGACTTTGTTTTGCGGCTCTTGGTTGGCATCGGCTTTGAGGCCACCCAGGGGAGGCTTTGAGAAAGGGATCCAGGCTGGGGGCTAAGGCAAGAGACCATGGGGCTGAGGAGGGCGGCCTGAAGGCCACCCTCCTCCCTGGGACACTGTGGCCAGGAAGCTCCCTGGGGCCCAGAGGCCCAGGAATGGCTGGGCCCTGGGGGACCCTTAGAGGACTTCTGCTTATGGGGCCACGATGTGCCCGGGGGTGGCCTGTGTGTCCTTAGCCTACACAGGTGCCTTCTCCCGAGACACATGCCACCAGCCAGGGCCGTGCTATCCCCAAGGCTGCCTTGTCTTTCAGGCCAGCCCGTGCCAGTGAAACAGGGTTCCTGCACATGGGGCCGGCCAGTGGCGTGGCCTCTGCTCCTGGGGACCCGGTCTTCCCGCTCCTCGGCTCCTTTCCCCAGCACCAGCATTGCCGATCCGCAGCATCTGTCCTGCGAGGGCTGAGCACTGTCCCCAAGGCCCTGTGGGGCAGAGCCACTCTCCCCGGGGCAGCCCCATGCTGTCCCGTGGCTCCCCGTGATGCCTGGGACACTGACGCCCTCAGAGCTGGCCAGGCCAGAGGGGGCCACACCCGGAATGCGGTGAGCAGTGGTGGCCGGGGGTCACCTCAGCGCGGGTGGTACGGTGCCCTGTGTCAGCGTCCTGCTGAGGACTCTGGTGGTCAGCACACAGCTCCGTCCCTCCCGGGGACACCCTCGTTGTCTGCTCAGAGCAGCTCCGCCCACCCTGCTCCTCAGCCCCGGGTCAGGGCCCAAACCCAGAGGTGGTGGCTGGAGGCCGGTGAATCCTCAGCATCGTCTCCAGGCACACGCAGGTCCCCGGCCCACCTGTCCCTTGTTGGCTGTGGTGCGGCTCTGAGCACCCGTCCTCTCACCTGCGAGCAGGTGGCCGGCCGATGCCCTCCATGCAGGCGCGCCGTGCCAGTGCATACCACATGCCTGGCGGGCGCTAGCTCAGGGCTGTCCTGAGCCAACAGGAGGGTGGGGTCCCGCACTTCCAGTCTCGGATAAACGCGGCCGCCACAGGGGCTTCCTCCCGTCCGCAGCATCAGTGCGCAGCGGGGGCCCTGCTCATCTCCAGGTACACAGGGCTTGTGTCCCGCCACGGCCCGGAGGGCACTGGGGAGGTGTCCCCCCCCATCACACATCCCCGGCACTGGGTCCCTACTCACCTGGTCCGCCTCACACTCCCGCTTGCAGGTACTCTGCGCGTCCACCCAGAGATTGGGGTTCATGTCATTGGGGCAGATGCCCGCGTGGGAATAGCGGATGGGTGGCAGTGCCAGGCCTGGCAGGGGCACCCCGAGTAGCAGCAGCAGGAGCAGCCGCCTGCAGCGGGACCAGAACGGGTGGCGTCCCGGGGCCCACATGGTCCGGTCAGTGGTGGCTGGAGGCCTCCCCGGAGCGGACACCAGGGGCTACGACCCACCGGTGCCTCCTCCTCCTCCTCGGGCCTGGACACCTGCCCTCCCCGGCCCGCAGGTCTCCCCGAGAAGGCTGAGGTTGCTGCAGCCGCTGCTCCCGGTGCAGCCTGCTGGGCAGAGCGGCTCCAGATGAAAGAAAGGTCTCCGGAAGGCAAGCGGCCTCCTCGGTGTGCGGGCACCAGAGCCGCTGCGGGGGCCGAGCCTGGATTTATATCCTGGGCGCGCCACCCGGGTGGGAGCCAGCTAACCTGACGCCTGTCACCGGCGGGCTGCGGCGCCTCCGTCCCGTGGCTGAGCACAGACTTATTGCAGGAGGGGGAAAAGCTGGAAGCAGTTTAGGCAGCGTATCTGGCACGGTAGGACACCTGCTTGTTTTTGACTCCGGGAGGCCTTTAACCCCTTCAAGGGCCAGAAAAGGCATGTGCGCCGGGGGGCTGGCTCCAGGACACGCACGCTCACTTAAAGGAGGGTTTGTTTGCCTTTCCCCCCCTCCTCGGGCCGGGCCCCCTCCTCCTGTGGCCACCTCCAAAGAACACACAATCGCTTGTTACGAGGGGGGACCCGCCGCCGGGGAGTGTCGCCCAGTTCCATAGTACATTTGAGAGCAAATGACGTGGAAAAACAAGTTCATGGCCATTCCAGGGCGGGCCTGGGAGCGTGGGCCGTGTAAGCCGACTCCGGCCGGCTGGCAGCAGGTCCTCCCGCGGGGGGGCGGGGGCGGGTGTGTGTGCGCGGACAGCCTGTGTCTTCGCTTTCAGCTTCGGGCATTTTCCCTGATCACTCCAGAGAATGTGCCAGATACTCTCCGCTCTCCCGCCATCCCGTTCGCACTCCTCCAGGGGACCCTTGCGGCTCCCCAACGCCAGGCAGTGACACAGCCAGCTGCCTTGCTCCTGCCCGCTGCGGCCACTGCTCAGGGAGTGCACTCTCGTTTGTTTCTATGCTTTCAGGTTTTTCGGTAGTGCTGGGATTGGACGCAGGGAGCAGGAGCTACGTCCCCAGCACGTTTTTTTCCCCTTGAAACGAGGTTCCTTTTTTTTTTTTTTTTTTTTGAGGCAGGGTCTCACTATGTAGCCCAGGATGGTCTCGAACTTACAGCGATCCTCCTGCCTCAGCCTCCTGAGTGCTGGGACTGCAGGTGTGTGCCACCCAGCTCCAGTAAGGGCCCTCTGAGTGGTGGGCACTGTCTGGTCTCCTCTTGCTTCCTCCACCCCAGGGAGGAGGTTTGTAGTAGCAGAGCACAAGTGACTTAGCTGAGGTCACCCGGACCAGTGACCGTGGCCCAGTCGCTCATGGCACAGTGCCGGCCTCATTCCATCCTCCGGCGACTCTGCCTGCATTTTAGGTCTGAGAGGGGGATGCACCATGAATACAGAAGGGGGGGCACCAGCTCGCTGGAGGGGGCAGGAGCCTTCAGAAACTGCCCCTCTTCCCCCTATATGCTAGCACTGCCGAGAGCAGCCCCCAGTCTGGTTCTTATAGAAGGGACCAGGCATTTTTGAAAATCGGGGTGTGTTTCTGTGGAGGGGCTGGGAAGAGAGCCAGAAGCTGCCAAGGGCTGGAGGACGATTTCCCTCCTGTTCGGCAGGAAAGGGCCTCTCTCCCGGAAAGGCCTCGGAGCAGCCAGCAGGCTGAGTATGTTTGTGTTGGCCACTCAGTGCCAGGGCTGTGGGGGGGATAGAGCCCTGGAAGAGAGAGCCCCCCAACCCCCGCCTTTTCTGTGTTTCTTGAGACAGGGTCTCACTTTGTAGCCCAGGCTGGCCTCAAACTCTTGGCAATCCTCCTGCCTCAGCCTCCTGACTGCTAGGATTCCAGGTGTGCGCCACACGCCCAGCTGAGAACCCTTTACAAGAATAAGTCACAAGGATTTGAAGAGCAGCCAGCGAGTGCAGTGTCTGGGGATAGCAGAGCAGTGGGTACTGTAGCCTGGCAGAGCCAGAAGGGGTCTCAGCATTTACAGATGGGAAAACTGAGGCCCACACTCAGCCCCACCGCTCTCCATGTTCTGGGATGCACAAAGGGCAGGCGCTCCTTCCCCACAGGCCCTGCTTCCCGGCTGGCTGGGTGTGACCTTCTCCGGGGAAGCGGGAGAGGCGGCTTCCCCTCGTGCAGCTCGCTCTGGACGCTGTCTTTTCTGCCTGTGTCAAATTGCTAATGAAGGGCGTCAGCTCCTAATCCTCTAAATTATGGGAATAAACCTTCCTCCGCGGCCGGTCCCAGTAATGAAGCCAGACAGCGGGGACGCCGGCTGCTTTGAATTCCCTGTAATTTCATAAAGCGAGTTCCAGCTGCTCGGAGCCGAGCCTGCGCGCGGCCGGCCCTGCGCAGCCGCAGACGCGGCGGGCTGAGCCCCCTCTGACGGCACGGAGGGAAGGGACGGCGACACGTTGCAAGCAGCAGCTGGGGGAGCCGGCACAGCCATGCCAGAGAGCAGGCTGACTCGGGGTGTCTGCCGAGACCGAGGAGGCGGCACGGGAAGGAGAGAGAAAAAAGGGGTGGGGGAGGCAGGGGAGCGGGGCCCTGCCTGCCTTCCTGGCCAGGCCAGCTCCGGGCAGCGCCAGGGGGACGCCCAGGGCACCTTCCCCACTTGCAGCTCAGCACGGTCCTGCACGCCCGTCCCGCACACCCGCCCCGCGGCCTTCCAGCTCCGTGCAGTCCGGACCCTCACAGCCGAGGGCCGCAGCCTGGGCTGGCCGGCTTGTGGGTGTCCCTGCCTGCGCCCTGTCCCCAAGGACGTCAGGCTCTGCCCCGTCTGCACAGCCACTCAGGGTGGAGGTGACAGGGACGGAGGGCCCTGTGGCCCCACTCATACCCTGCAGGGCGGGCTCGGGCCCTGCTCTTAGGTGCAGCCAGCAGAAAGTCACCCTGACAGTGAACTTCACATGACCCTTGACCTCAGGCTCGCCTGAGGGTCACCAGGCAGGAGCCCGAGGGCCTGGACACAGTTTCCGATCAGCTGCGTCTGCTGTACACAGCCGAAGTGAGCTCGGCCCACAGCAAGAGCCTCACTTCTGCCTGCACCCGCTCCCGCTTTCCCTGTCTTTCTTCCCACACGTACTCCTTTCTGTCTCTCTCTCTTTCTCCCTTCCTTCTTTCCTTCCTTCCATTTGGAGACAAGGTCTTGCTATGTAGTTTAGGCTAACTTTGAACTCACTATGGAGCCCAGGCTGGCCTGGAGCTCATGGTGATTCTCCTGTCTCAGCCTCCCCAGTGCTGGGATAACGGGTGTGCACCACCACACCTGGTGTCACACTTGTTTTTAAAGCATCTACTATGTGCTCCATGGTGGGCAGATGGAGATCCACAACAGTTTGTCCACAGAGAGGCTCCCAGTATGGGACTGCAAACAAGCACACAAGCATGATGATAGCACTGACGCCAGGGTGGTGGCACATGCCCGTAATCCCAGCACTTGGGAAGCTGAGGCAGGAAGATTGCCGAGAATTGGAAGCCAGCCTGGGCTACATAGCGAGGCCCTTTCTCAAGCAAGCAAGCAAACAAAAATGAAGGCAGTGAGTGTTGGATTGAAGGCCCCCAGTGGCACGGACCGAGAGGCGGCCAGGCCTGCATGGCTGTCGCACACCCACAACGCTGGGAGGGCCCAGAGCGTGAGCAGCAGCCTGCGAGGCAGGAGAGAAGCCAGCCGTGCCCTCTCCACAGGCGGCCCAGCTGCAACGCCTGTCCCTGGCAAAGGGCCAAGGCCACGGCCACCCCCGTCCCTCAGCCAGTGGGTTTGGGGAGGCAGGGCCCCTCAATCACCCCAGAACCCGTGTAGGCAGGACAGGGGAGCAGAAGGATTGGGGGACACAGGGATGAAGCTGCCGGACGGCGGGGAGCAGAGGTGATGGGGAGCCTGCCGGCCGGCCAGGGATTCAGGGAGGCTGAGGCTCCCCGGCTGCGTGGCTGGCCGGGGTCACGTTTCTGTGGCCGGTGAACTCTCCCCTGGGTGGCAGTGGCTACTGGGCCTCGGCGTCCCTGAGGGGCCTGGCAGAGGGTGGCACACGCACACAGAGGGGCCGCTCCGCCCAGGGCTGTGATCCAGGGCTGCCGGGCGGGGACTCAGGGCTCGGGCCGGCGGGGCCGCCCTGGAGACCCTGCCAGCTTGGCCGGGATGGAGCTGGCTTCCCAGACCCAAACCTGCGGGCCTCGGCCAATACCAACACAGGCTTTGAGCTGCTGGTGCCCCCTGCCCAGCTCACTGGGGACAGCTGGGACCTTGAGCAAGGCCCAGCCTCGCCCCAGCTCAGGCTCCCATACCCAGGCTCCGCCCTCCCTGCCTCGTGCTCATCCACCGTCCTGGGTGAGAGAAAAGAGGCTCAGCCCTGAGGGTCCCGCTGCCCCCCACGCTCACCCCGAAGAAGGATGTGCACCCTGGTACAAGAGAGCGAGAAATAGGCTCCTTCTGACAGACGCCATTGACGAGCTCTGGCTTTCTGTTATCTCAGCACTCAGGAGGCTGAGACAGGAGGATCTCCGCCCAGCCTGGGCTACATAGTGAATTCAAGGCCAGTCTGAACTGCAGGGCGAGAGCTTGTCTCAACAAACAAACATAGAGGCGAGCCAAAGCACCCGGCCTAGACCTCCAAGAACTTCTGCCTCAGTTTACTTCTCCGACATTGGCATTCACACACCCTTCCCCCAAAACTTCCATGGAAAGAGGTCAGCAGGTGCACAGGCCGGAGTCACAGCCCCCAAACACCTGAGCCCCCAGGTCTTCAGAGGGGCGAGGACCTGCCCCCACCCTCCAAAACAGCCTTGTGCATACCACTTGTTGCAGCAGGACAGGACAGGACAAGACAGGACGGTCCGTGTCCTCAGCCACGCTGGCAGGTCCGGTCCCCTGCCCTCCCCTCGGGCTCTGTCTTCCCCTGCTGCGTCCTCCATCCCTGCACATATCTGACTCTGTGTGACGAAGGGGCCACCCTCAGGCTTCGGGGCGGTGGCTCCAGTTCCCCTGGAGCCTGTCGAGGACCCGTTTGCATGTGGCCTGTGCACCCCTGGGCCCCAGCCTGACTACCCTGTGAGGAAACCCGCTCCATGCTGTCCTGTGTACAGACCTGATTTCTTGAAATGTTGCACTCCTCATTACCTACAAAGCCCTGCCCTTGGGGCCCGCCCAGCCCCTTTGTTAGCATCTGCTCCTCTTCTGTAGCCTCCCTCTCAAACATGAGGGGCCTTTGTACAGCACACATGTCCTTCCTGCCCACAGAGCACCTCCCATCATCTCTCGTATTCATTCCGTCTCAAGAACTTTCACCAGCTTTTTTTTTTTTCCCCCAGTACCAGGACTCGAACTCACAACCTCACGCTTGCCAGGCAGGCGCTGTGCTGCTGAGCTAAATCCCCAGCCCCAACTTTCACCTGCTTTATCTGCTTCCTCCTCACTGTATCAGATGAAGTTCTTCTTGTTGTAAAAACATAGTGATGGACCACCCAACTAAAAGTGTTTCTGATATCAAGGGGTCCACAAATAGGTGGTAGCAGGGTGGGCTCAGCATCTCAACAACACAAGGGCTGCCTTTTGGCCTCCTCATGGTTACAGAATGGCTGCCATCCCTCCAAGGGCTCACATAATAACATTCA